AGATTCATATTTAAATGCTTGGTCCCAATTGGTAGAACTGTTTGGGAAGGATTAGGAAGTGTGGCCTTGTTGGAGGAGGTGTGTCACCGGGAGTAGGCTTTGAAGTTTCAAAAGCATACACCATTCCCAATTAGAGTTCTCTCCTTCCCTACCTCCCTCTCCCTCCCCTCCCCCACCCCTCTATTGCACCAGCACCATGTTCTGCCTGCCTGTTCTGCTTCTCACCATGATGGTCATGAATTCTAACCCTCTGCAACTGTAAGTTAGCCTGCAATAAACTCTTCTATGAGTTGCTTTGATCATGGAGTCACTTCACAGCAACAGAAAAGTACTAAGCATCACAGCAACACACTAGTCTAAAGTTTTAAAACTACTAGAAACTAAAGTCAGGGGCCTTTAAGAAGATAAATGAATTCGCCCATTCTATACTGGACCTGAGAGTTTAAAATGCCAAGTTAAACTTAAGTCGTGTCGTATCAAGGGGAAAAATTACAACTGTAAACTTTGTTCCAAATTTACCCACTGTGAATATATATATATATATATATATATATATGTATGTATGTATGTATGTATGTATGTATATATATAATTTTAGGTTCCACAGGAGCCAGAAAACAAGCCATTCTGACCAGCTGATGGGCTGTCTTCCCAGCAGGGGCATGGCAGGCATTGCACACAGCATAGCTGCACACACAGTGGGCACTGACCAGGTTTTTGAAGAGTGCCGTCAACTCCTTGGTGAACACAGAGAACTTCAGAAATGCGCTTCCTAAGTCTGGGTCATCTCTGCATACACAGTTGCCACCGAACTTCTCCAGAGCCTGCGTGTACTGTTCCTCGTTCTCCACGTGTGCTGCAAGAGCAAGCGGAGGGGCTGTTAATGTTAACCAAGCAGTCGGGTCCTGGACCACTAGGTCCTTCTCTGTTACAAATAAGACTGAACATGTTGCCCAGAATTAAACTTGGAGAACATCCTCAGAACAAACACTGAGAAAAAAGTCAGGTTGCAGGAGCAGAAATACAATTACTATTCCAAAAATGAAACCACTGTGCCTAAAGAAGCAGCTAGTGACATGAAAATCTCCTATCACGCCAGGCGGTGGTGGCGCACGCCTTTAATCCCAGCACTTGGGAGGCAGAGGCAGGTGGATTTCTGAGTTCAAGGCCAGCCTGGTCTACAGAGTGAGTTCAGGACAGCCCAGGCTATAAAGAGAAACCCTGTCTCGAAAAACCAAAAAGAAAAAAAAAAGAAAATGTCCTATCAGGTTCCCTGCAGGACAACAGAGACTCAGATAGCCCATTACCCCAGAGTTTCCCGGACTTCTCCTCAGCCCGACCACCACACTAGCCATTGGTCTAAGAGTAGGTCTCAGCTCCATCTTAGAAATGTAGCAGAAGATGCCAACTCTTCTCCCACTAAAGCACAGGACATCCAGTCAGAGAGCCACACTGCTGGCACCTCCTTACACGGGGACTGTGGTGCTCTCTGAAGCCTTGGCTGGGCAGCTAGAGCCAGCTTGGCCCTCCTCGTCTCTGCTCCGGATCTCTTCTGCCCAGACCCTCCCACCTAGCTCCCACTCACTCGATCCACTTATCCGGTCTCCTCAAAACTGTAAAGACTTGTCCTGATCCCTGGGTGCCTGTTCTCATCCACTGGAAGTACTTAGGTGAGGGGCCAGGCTGTTCTCGTCCACATCATGAACATAAGGTCACAGAAAGACCAAACTCGGTCATTCGTCTTACTATCAGACTGAAGATAAACACCAAAGAGGAAGAAACCTAGCCTTAGGGTCTCTAAGCTCAGTGGCTCCACAGGTCCGGAACATCAAGATTATACACAGAAGGAGATGTGGCTTGGTTGGTGGAGTGCTTGCCTAGCATGCTCCAAGTCCTGGGTCAGAGCCCCAGCATCACACACACCAGGCACTGTGGCACATGCCTGTAATCCTTTTACTTGGCAGCACACTCAGTTCAAGGTCGTCCTTGGTTACATAGCAAGTCTGAACTACATGAGAACATATCCAAACAGATAAGAAGTATAAATAAAGTCATACACAGGTGTTTAACAACTAATCAGAGTCCCCACCCGGATCTCTGATTCAAAGTAAGGGCAAGTAGCATAGTAATTCCAGTAAGTTAACATGATGGAATCAAATTCCCTCTCTGCTAGGACAGGCACTTCAAATGAAACCAGCCAGTCTGTAATAGAACTATCACTCCCATGGGTCTTGCTTCCTAGACCTTTGTCTCAATTAGAAACTAGACACAACTGTTTTGCAGGCGAGGTGCGGCAGGCAAGTACACAGGATAATTTGTGTAGACCTTGCCAGGCAGACATGGTCTACAAGCTCTGGCTGTCTCATCAGGGAATGAGCCTGAAGGCTCCTCTGCAGTTGCCTTCCTCAGGACCACAGCACTCTGCTCATTAGTGCCAATGCCTGGTGACAAAGGGACTAAGCCCTTTTAAGGGCAGTCCTAAACCCTGTGCCAATCCTATGATCTATGAATGGCCTGTTTACCCACTGCCAGGGAGGCGGCATGTCCTTGACCTCAATTGGCACCTGGTATTTGTGGGGATGCTAATGTTGATTTAGCAAACACTGAGAAAATTAGATTTCGATGCCTCAGTCTTTTTATTTTGAGAAGCATTCCAGGGCTGGGATGTCCTCGTGGTGGTGCTTCTTTAGCATGGACAAAGTCCTGAGGATCAGTTCTCAGCACTGGGGTGGAGAGGTTCCAGAAAGAGGCTTAGGAATTCTAGATGAATACACATGCACTCACACAATGTATGCATGCATGTGCATGTTGGTATCACAAGAGAAGCCCTCGGAGATCTGGGGTCCATTTCTATGGCAGCCAGGGGCCATTTGTGCGACTGGTAGGTAAGAGTAACCCTCACTAAACCTACTCTATCGGGTTTTGTGAATGACAGAGGCTTGCTGGCCTCTGGTGTCAGAATATAAAAAAAGTCAATGCAGGGTAAGGACACACCATGCACACAACCAATACCACAAACAGCAGTAAGTATGATACCAGACTTCTATATGGAGTTCCAGGCAACAAAAGCACAGAGTGGTACAGCTGGGCTTCAGCCCTGAATGTGTCTGACTCCCTAGCCTGCTCCTCCCTTCTCTGACACACTGGCGTTTCATATCTAAAAATAGCTTACCTTAGGCCAGCAAGACAGCTCAGTGGGGAAAAGTACCTTCTATGCAAACCGGACAGACACGGTTCAATTCCCAGATCCCACGTAAAGGTGAGAAGATAAAAGGGAATCCACAAAGCCATCCTCTGATCTTTGTATGTGTGCTGTGGCATTCATGTGCTCACATACAACAGTAAATAACACTTGAAAAATCAAAACTAGTTTGCCTTGCTAAAACTCAAAGTACTTAATTTTTAGATTCTTAAAATTCCATTTCACAGTTAGATCAATAATCCCTATTTCTCTGTATAAGTCTAACACATGTGGTGAACTATGAAGAGCAGGCCTTCTGCACCAAATGCTATTAAAAGACAAGCAAACAAACAAAAAACTATTTCCAAGTTAAAACATAGGCAAGGCCCAATGAGGTTCTAGCCCAGAGCTGATGGCCACAGCCTATAGCTGGTGCTGACTTGTGTGTCTCTGTGTGTGTGTATGTGTGTGTGTGTATAAGGGAACTTCCTTCAAGGTTCAAATGAGTCGAAGCTCTGTATGCTCTGCATTTCTGTGTCTTCCTAGGATGCTCAGAATGGTACCCACTGTGAGAACAGCCAACTTGCCTAGAAGCATGGTAACTGATTGTTCCAGATCATCCCCAAGTTGGAAATTTTCCTACCAAGATCTGAGAGCAATCTGAGAGCCTTTATCATTCTTTTGCCAAAAAAACAAACCTTAAAATAGGAACCTAAAATAAATAGCCTGGGAATAAAATTTCTGGAAACATCCCAAAATGAATCTATCAGCTTTTATTTACAGAACTGAAAGCTGTTTTACGGGACACTCACTCTCTCACCTCCCCCTGCTTCAAATACATCTTCTGCTCTAGTTTGTGGGATCCCAAGCCAAGAATATCTCCTCTGGGAGACTCGAGGAGATGGGGATCTGAGCTGCAGGACCCACCCCAGGACGAGACCCCATTTCTTTAGAGTTTTCTCTCCATATGTTCCTGTCTCCCACACCTCAGAGCTCAAAATCCAATCTATTCAAGAGATGGGTGAACTAGGGTGCATTCACCCAAGAACCTATCCTTTAAGCAGCAGCAGACATGGAGGTTAGAGCCAAGGGTGAAGGTTTTATCTCGTGCTTTTCGGCTTACCTGACTTTGTCATTTTTAAATGTGTATATCAAGGAGAAGACCCAAAGAATGTGAATTAACAAAAAATACTGGATCTAAAAAGGCAAAAGGCAATTCCTTGCTGTTCTTTAATGAGATGTACACATAAAGTGGCACAGACACTAAGGGGACACAGAGCAAGGAAAGATGGCAGGGGGCTCATCAAAGCCAATTAACCTCCAACAGCCAACACAGTCTTAACTCCCAATTCAGATATTCCATTCATTACTAGCAGCCTAGCAGCAGGAGCATGGCAGTGCATCAGAGTGACACCAAGAACAAGTATGTTCCTAGGAGCAGGTATAAATGCCTAGGGAGAGAGTCATCAATGTCCTCGCTGATCATTGTTCCATGCCACACACCAAGGAAACATTTGGACAACTGTTCCAAGGGTGGATATGAACCACCAAGGGGAAACAAGAGGGCATGAAGCTCTGTGAGCCCTGGAGAGTCCCGTGCATTCGATGGCTGTTAACATCAGTCTTTCAAGGTTCTAGCCTGCATCCAGCTCTCAATTCTGAAACCAAAACCGGCCAGGACATGCCTCCTGTCCATCCGTATCCACTACCCTGTCCTGCTCTAAGGGTGATGAGAGAGGACCTATCCTGGTGCTCTCTTTACAAACAGCAAGCCAGGCACTGGGAAGACAGCAACTGCATCAAGTTACACGGTGAGTCTGTGGAGCCAGAGCAAACCTCTGTCTTCCTGACTCTCAGTCCAGTGTTCTTCCTCCACACCAGGAACTGCTGGTGCATTTGCTCTACTCACAACCCTCCCTTCTGCTCTAGGCTAAAACAAAGGCCACACCCTTCCAGTCAAGCCAACAGCTCAAAATGCCATCATCAACGAGGAAGAGAACCAGGTGGGCAGTTCCTGTACCAGCCTGGCGCCAACTTCTGCGTCACCCCTAGGGCTGCTGTAAGCCCCTGCTCCACACAAGACCATGGCCACCTGGATTCTGGCTGAGAAGCATCCATCTTGGTGGCACATTTGAGCCACTTAGACAGCTAGTGAAGGGAACAGTCAAGGAGACATTCATTCTCCAGCAGCGCTGTGAGACACTCCCCAGATAACATAATAGTCAATCAAATGTGCACCACGTGTTCACATAAAGCTATTCCAAAGGTGATCATAGCCGGGGCCCTACAGGTTGCCTGGTTTCAGATCTAGCCTAAAACACACAATTTCTAAAGGAATAAGGTAAACTCTGGGATGATCTCACCTCCTCACAGGGTCATTTCCTGTCCCAGGGGAGAGTTGGTTTTAGAATTCATTTCTAGGGTCAGGTCCAGATGAAAAACTGAAAGTAACCTTCCAGCGGACAACTTGGTGGTCTATATACAATAAAGTCTTTAAAATGCTCGTGTCATTTGAGAACCCCACTTCCGGGAATCTATCCAAAGCAATGGTTCTTAACCTGTGGGTCTTGACCATCGGAAAACACAGATTTCCAATGGTCTCAGGAACTGTGTTACCACTCAGTAGTCAAATTACATTTATGAAATAGCAATGAAAACAAATGGTTGGGGGTTCC